TCAAATGACAGAATATTGTTTCTGTGTCCTATGACATAGACCAAATTTCTATAAAAAGCAATATCGGTCAAAAGCGTCAGGTGCTCGTCGAAATATGTCCAAGTTTTCTGCCAGGATTTGTAGAAAGCTAATCTGTTATATGCGCTATAGATTACCACAACAACGTAACTGTCCGTATTGAATGAAGGGTCAGCTGATAACACAACCTTTTGAATGTCGTATTGGTAGCCCATGGGCTTTCTATTGGAAAATTCAAGCTGAGGGAGATCAATGCTAATGCAATCCTTAAAAGGGTTTGAAAGGGTTATGACCATGTTCTCGTCCACAGTAGCTAACCAACCATAACAAGATCCGCAACTTCTTTTATTATAAGACTTTGGAAGCTCAATACTGGAGACTTTTGTTTTGGCTGCTATATACTTTCCGCTTTGTCTCGCTCCTTTTGGTTGGAATCAACAGCATGGGAACCATATTCGGTGATGATTGCCTTTTTATGTCAAGAAAAGTATTGACCACTGAATGCCAATGCCTACTGACAGCACCAAATTGAACCAAGTTGCTCGGGGCATCTAATTTGTCGAGAACCTTAAAGAGACAGAGTTGTGGAAGATATTCCCAATCCGGTTCAAAATTTCCCATATGTTTGTCTTGAAAAACAGTTGAAGAATGTAAAGAATTTTTTATTAAACTATCTGGGAAAGTTTACAACGATAGAAAATCACTTAATTAGGTGAAGAAAAAGAAGTACAAAAGAGGGTTGCTGAGCTTTGTGTTTGGTACATAAAGGGTATTTATAGGTAGCTTCTATTATTATTATTTTTTATTGTAAATCCAATTCCAATTAGAATGGAATTTAAGTCTTTGTATACAATTCGCATATAAACAAACTTTAAATTTCTACGTAATTGTAACTTAATTGTTGGTTAAATAGTTTTAAACTTTTAGACATAATTGGAACTCAATTTTCGGTTTATTTAAATAAAGGAAAAGAGTGGTAAATTTGTTTGTTTATCGACCTTCCTACCAAAATTTCCGATGATCTTGGCTAAAAGCAAGCCAACATTTTGGTGTTTGTAATTGTAATTAATTTTCGATGGTATCACTAAGTCAGGACAGAGAATAAGAAGTGAATACTATCTGTTCATATTTGTGCCATGGAACACATGCGTCGTGTTTGTCCTTGATGATTTCACTTCTAACCTATGCCCTTTAAGAAGTGAATACTGGCAACTCCCTACGTCTTGATTGTTTGGATGTTATGTTTTACTCACAGAGAATGTTTGTGCCACAATGCTCTGCTCTTTTTTCATTTCAGTGGCTGGTCGATATTGGTTGATTGTGCTTGTAGATAAATAAAATGTCTTGCTAGAAATCTTAGTAGAGAAACCTCACAGGGAAACTTCCTTTTTTCTGCAACTCTATGCCAGGTTTTGCGTGGAGAAACCCCTGGTCCTCGAATAGTATCTTTGCAGCTGATCAGGTGGAGCAGAGTTAGAAGTCAGAAGAGTCACAGGGCTTGTAACTTGGTCCTTACAAAGTTTTTGATGTGATCTCTTTTGCTTTCATTTCCACCCTTTATAACACCGATGAATCTATTCTTCAAAAAGTCAAAGTACCAATCGTTGAATCGATAACATTTTTACTGCAGTAAACAAATTTCCTGTAGTCCTTGTTCTCAATATAACAGCAGCTGGAAACAGTTAGGAAATGGTCCCTGTATTTTGAAATCTGCTAGCAAAATTTTATTCATATTTAATATCCTTTTCTCAATATAACTGCAGCTTGTAAGCATGTAAACTAGTAAAATGTCATTGTTGAGCTCTACAGTTAATTGGGTGATTGGCCCAATTAACTACCACATTGCCCAGATCAACCAAATTGCCCTGGAAAGCAAATTCCATAACTACCACATTGCTGGAGTAAATACCATTCCATTGAAAAAAAAAAAAATAGTTCCATGCATCCATCGAAAGGGTGATTAATATTCTGGTGTATTGAAAGTCTCCCTCTCCACCTTATTAGTTCGGAAATTCACTATCCTTCCTGATAGATTTTATAATCAAAAGAGAGTTGACTGGTTCTGATATTAAGATTAAATCATTTGTGTGACATAAGTGCACAAGCTTTGAATTATGAAAAAAAGGCTAATTGTAGTTATATGGTAAATCAAGCCCCGGGGGCCTTTGTTTATTAGCCAAGCTCTAACTTGGTACTTGGGAGTCATTTGTTGGAGGATCAGAACAGTGCTAATACCACTGTCTCTTTTCCTTTAACAATATCTAATTTACATGACCATCTAATTTAAAACATGCTTCTGAGGAGGGTTCACTGAGACTGAACCTATTGGTGAGGGATTACAGTCAGGAAAGGAGGAAATGACCCTACTTAGGATTTCAACTGCCACAGAATGGAGAGCATTGGCAGTTCATTGTCTAGAGAAGCTGAAGCTAATATCAGGTTTGAAATGACTAATAAATTAACTCTGATAGTAACTTCTGAATAAGCTGCAGCGTCCTACACGATTCCAAAGCTATTATCCTATATCCTAGAGTTCCAAATATATTTCCTTTTCACTTTCCAGGAAGGAAATAATGAGAAGCTAAGATTGCGAGGAAAAAGATAAATTGAAGATTTCATTGCTTAATCAAATCGAAATGTGCAATGCGAATTGCTTACAACATATTAAGAGAAGTCTATATGCTGTTTCTTACACTTTCAAATGGTGAAGTATCTACGACACACCCCCAAGAAATCGAATAACAGTACATGAACCAAATGATAAGATACATCTTTATTAGATATTCTTGTGAAGGCAACTTGACCCTCAAATCATCTAATTGCCAGCTCCTGGACTTGGAACTGACTGGTCAGACAGAGCACTGTGGTTGATATTGTGCATTTCATTCACTGCCATTACATGATCATTTTTAGCAGGAGATGCAAGTGAACCAAAAACCATAGGATTAGCACTCGCAACGATACTCTGCGCCAAAACCGGACCATTCATATTTTCCTTACTTAAGATCTTTCTGGCACCAAAAGATGGTGCATAGCATATTAATGCAACAGCAATAAAAAGGATTGTAGTTTTGTTGAGATAAGCCATTAGGAGTGCTAGTAGAGGAAAGTCTAGGAAGTAAAGTAAGGCTTATCCTGCAAATAAGGAAACACTGAGGCTTTGTTTGGGATAGTTGAATTGGCTTATGAACTGATCTATTTATAGGCCACTGATGATCAGGTAGAGGCGTGAGGGTCAAGTTAATTAAATTGGTTTAGAAGATATGTATAGTTGAAAGCCTCGCAGACAATGAGTTAGGTACATTTCAACTTAATGCAACCAATGTTATTTTCTTGCACTTTTTCCATCGACCTGGAAGCCTAGGTTGACTTTCTTCAGAAGGTCTAGAAAGAAGAATCATGGCGAGAGCTTTAGGTTTAGGACTCCCTTTACGTTATTGAACCATTTACCGAAACATATATACCTCAGTTTGTGCATACAAGGGTACTAATATGCAATTAATTTCTTTATATTTGTCATTAGAAATTCTAAGTTCTTTAACATCTTAAGTGATTATGGATAAGTTTATTCGTTTTAGGTAATATTTGCCCAAGTAGGCGAATCTGCAGATTAGTGCAGATACTTCTAACTTTTGAAGGGATTTCTTGATTCAATGTATCATCTTACACATAAAAAGGCACATTATTGAAAGAAATACCGGTTGCGTGAAGGGCTTTCAGATAAACAGTACCTAAAGATTACTTTTAGAATATTATTGGACGCCAAAATCATCGGTGCTCAAAGATCAAAGTTTAATTTTATTGAACAGTACCACCAAGTTTTTGATAATGATAAACATGAAGAATTTTATGGTATTACTGTTAGTTTTTAGATGATAAAAACTTAAAGTTCTAGTATTGCTGGAAAGCTGAAGCCTTTTATCTAGTAAACCCAGTAGCATAAACAAGAAGAATTCTGTGGTATTCTCACCGGCCAAAAATTAAATTCTTGTGTCTAAAGCAGTGAAAGGTTTTTCTTTTTCAATATTCTTTGATAATTTCGCGTGAGGAAAACAGTTCAAACCATCCCTTTCCTGGATGTTTGCTCAAGGAAAATCCATTATGATTTGAACTTCTTTAATATGTGCTACCTCATTTTTCTGATAGTGAATTTAGAGTCATCGAAGGTGGTTCAAGTTAATTGTAACAATATACTAAGGACACTGTTTAGATGGTAGAGCCCATTTGCCCTTTAGTATGACTAAGAAGAACTTGGCTTGATTGAGCCATTAAGCAGCTGAGATTCAGCAGAGGCATTATGCAACTTACATTTTAGTGGGTCCTTTCTGCTTCTATTTTAATGTTTCGCATATAAGTGGGAAGATTCCAAGTTTGAGACCATGAATAGAATGATTCACTTTTACAAGTGTCCTTTACTGTTTAATTAAAAAAAAAGGTATTTTGCTTTTCAGGGAAAAGGGTTATGAAAAACACTTGAAAGTTATCAATCTTTACTGCATGATCGACAGATTTTTGGCTTGTAAAGAAAGTATCAACAAAATGAAAGCAATAATGAAGGTGAGGATGTACTCAATCAAGCAAAGCAAAGCATGTGGAGGCTTATGCAGTTCTTATTAATTATTGAACAAACAATTCTGTAAGATATGCTTTTCAAGAGAAATGCTATGATCATTACAAGTTTAATTGCAGTTTGCGTTTATTCGTATCCATATAAGATGATCATGAGCTTTATTTATTATTCAATGCAAACTTACATTGTTTATTCCATATATTAAGAAAATTAAGCCCCCAACCCCCAAATTACAAAAGAAATTGTCTATGTAATTGTGTATTATCCATATGGTGAGAGGAATAGTTGAACCAAACCCCTAGAAAATCAATTGAAAAGGCATAAAATCTGTGTAAAGAGACAAGCATAGAGTTATAACTATGATTGTTTGGTAAAGCTATATATAGAGGGGGACAGCGGGAGAATAATGCAATTAGTGGTGGCCTGCTCCAGGACTTGGGACAGACTGTAAGACTTGATCAATTTTGGCGAGATGAATGGCAAAGAGCTTTTCTTTATTAGCCATAGCATGCCCTTTATGATCACTAGCAGGAAGTATTTTCGTAGGCTCCCTGACGAAGGTGCTTCCAACAAAATTATCCTCGGATGAAGGAACTTCTTTCTTCTCTAAATTCAAAAGCTTTCTAGCTTCAAGAGACGTTGGTAGGAAGATGAAAGCAAAAATAACGATAATCAAAACAACGCTTAATCGAGTCATTTTCGAATGCAAAGAGAAAGAAAAGAGATGCTATATTTTCGAATGCAAAGAGAAAGAATAGAGGCTATATTTTCTATGCCTTTTCTTATAGAAGTGTAAATCAGAAATGAGGCCTTGAATGACATATTGCTTGGATTTCGAGGTATATATATAAGAACGGGAAACCGTGCCGGCTAAGTCAGCATGTTTTGGAATGAATCAATGAATATGTTGGTATTTTTCTGCATGTATTGTTGTTTAAGATTCATGGAAATTGGGTTAGGTACAAATTAACTACACTGTCAGCTCGTGTTTTTAAGTAACTTCATGCACTTATCACAACAAGCACTTGGAACAACCTGATCATTACCCTGTTTACTTTCTATACCTTTTAATTCAACCTTTTAAAGATCAAACCATTTCCTTCTATTTTTCTGGTTCTAATAGTTTGTTTTTCCCACTTGCTGGAATACTGCTTTTTCAAAGTTCAATGATCTACAGGACTATAGGAGACCTGAAAGCCAAGTTTGCCAATTTGCCAATGATGCACTGAAATTGTATAAATGCCTAGGAGTACAAGACCTAACATTTTCTGTAGCAGCTAGAAAGTCTATTATTCTGTGTTGAAATTAGCGTACAATTTAAGCCAATTAACTTCGTATTCTTGCCTTGCAATAAAGGTAAAAACCATGCACAACTTCCAGTCTTATATGAAAACAAAATGCTAGGGGCAGCGAGATTTTTTATTTTGATTTCTAGTTTTTTATTTTCTTAAATTTTTAAA